ACCTAAGGGCCCTACTGCGGAGTCCCTAAAGGGCTAGGGCCTAGGGTTTAGGGTTTAGACGTCTCGAGAGGCGAAGCAGGGTTTAGGGTTTAGGGTTTAGGGCTTAGGGTTTGCTGCAGGCTGGTTGAAGAAAATGAAAAGAGGCTGATGGATGATCTTTTTGCTGACTGCGACCAGCCAGACGGAACAGCAGCAGCAGCAGCAGCAACAGCAGCAGCAGCAGCAGCACAGGAGCGCAGCACGTCAGGAGCAGCGCAGAAGCTGCGGCGGCGACGCAGCAGCAGCAGCGGGGACACAGCAACGAAGCAGCAGCGAACGAGCAGCAGCAGCTAATCAACTGCAGCAGCAAAGCAGCAGCAGCAGCAAAGCAGCAGTAGCAGCACACTAACTTGCGAGGGTCTTTGCTGCCTTTGCTGCCAGTGCTGCTCGCTGTTTGCTTTCTGCTGCTGCTGCTGCTGCTGTTGCTGCTGCTGCTGCTGCTGTTCCGTCTGGCTGGTCGCAGTCAGCAAAAAGATCATCCATCAGCCTCTTTTCATTTTCTTCAACCAGCCTGCAGCAAACCCTAAGCCCTAAACCCTAAACCCTAAACCCTGCTTCGCCTCTCGAGACGTCTAAACCCTAAACCCTAGGCCCTAGCCCTTTAGGGACTCCGCAGTAGGGCCCTTAGGTCCCACACCCTAAACCCTAAACCCTAAACCCTAAACCCTCACTTTTGTCTCCTGAGGCGTTCAGAAATGGGGTCGCTGAGGGGAGTGTTTTCAGCAGCAAACCCCTTGGGTGTTGCTGCTCCAGCCTTTTTTCCTGCTGCTGCTGGTTTTGCTGCGGCTGCTGCGGGGGAAGCAGCAGGAGTTGCTGCAGCAGCAGCGCAGCAGCGACAGCAGCTGGGAGGCCTCTGGCAGCAGCACTTTGGCAGTTAGGGGTTTTAATCAATCAATTTAATTGATTTAATTAAATTATTCAATTTTAAATTGATTAAATTAACTAGTATTTATTTTCAAAAGCTTCCTACGCTCTTCGAGCTCATCAAGAAGATCTTCCCACGTCTCTGCGACCGCTGCAGCGACAAAGAGCAGCAGCAGCAGCAGCAGCAGCAGCAGCAGCAAAGAGGAAGTTAGCTCGAGGCAGCTGTCCGCAGGCAGAGGGGAGGAGGCTGGCTAAAAGCACTGAACAACCACGGGCAACAGCAGCAGCAGCAGCAGCAGCAGCACAGAGAGCAGCAACAGCAGGAGCTGGCGGGCTCGCCACATCGGCGCTGCTGCCAGCAGCAGCAGCAGCAGCAGCAGCAGCAGCGGCAGCAGCAGCAAGGCTTCTGAAAAGCTCTATGCAGTTGAAGCAAACGGCGAAGAAAAGGAAGAAACTCACCCATTTTTTCCGCCCGAACACGCGCTCGACGCTGCGGCTCCTGCTGCTGCTGTTGCTGCTGCTACTGCTGCTGCTGCTGCTCGACTCTTTAGGGGGCCTCACGCTGCCAGAACACAAATGGGAAATCCCAAATTTGAAATAAAACGAAAACGCGAAAAACGGCGGAGAGAATTCGGTGGGGCGCGAAACGGCAGCGGGCGAGCCTGTGAAACGCTGCTGCTGCTGCTGCTGTGCTGCTGCTGCTGCTGCTGTATGTCTGTCCTAGCTGGCCACTAAATGGCAAGTAGATTCCACTTGGCGAACTCGAAGTGTTTAGTTCGCGCGAGAAAAAGAACTCTTCTTTGCTGCTGCTCGGCCCGCAGCTTGCTGCTGCGCGCGCAGGCTTGCTGCTGCAGCATGCGGGGCTGGGGCCAGCCAGCGCTTCTTCGAGCCTTCGCAGCAGCTAGTTGTTCAAAAAAACAAATTGAAACAAATGAAATAACTGACTGAGGTCTGCGGCCAGCGGGGGTTTGTGAAAGCCACTCGCCGAGCTGTACAGACACCCCAGCTGCCTCACGCACCCTCCCGCCGCTGCAGCAACCTGCAGCACATTTTGGCCTTATTTTCTCGTTTTTCTTCCGATCTTCGAAATAAATAGATTTAATCTCTGTTTAATTCCTTGAATTCGCGGCAGGGGCCCCCGAGGCGCCTCCCGGCGCTCGCTGGGGGCTGTTTTGTCTAGGGCGGCTCGCGTTCAAGTTTCCTCAGCATCAGTTGCTACAGAATCCAGCGGGAAAAACGCGCCATAAATTGCATCTGCGGCTTATTTTTGAAGGGCGATTCGAATTTGGGAAGATCAGCGGGAAAGGAAAAGTACTTTTTGCGATTCAGCGATGGAGCTGCTGGTCCTGGACTACAAAATCGGCAGCTGGGTCCTCGTGCCCATTGTGCTGCTCGTGCTGCTCTGCACTTTGCTGCGGCAGAAACTGATGGAAACTTCTGCAAAAACAGACACCCAGCCCGACATGGAGGAGCAGTTCGTCTCGTGAGTGCAGCAGCAGCAGCAGCAGCAGCAGCAACAGATAGTGCGCGGCAGCCAACAGCAGCAGATAGTGTGCAGCGGCAGCAGCAGCAGATAATGTGCAGCCCCAGCAGTAGCAGATGATGGGCAGCAGCAGCAAGCAGCAGGTAGTGTACCGCAGTAGCAGCAGATAATTTCAGCAGCAACAGCAGCAGAGAGCAGCAATAGCAGTGCGCAGCATGAGCAGTGTGCAGCAGCAGCGGCAGCAGCTAACGTGCAGCAGCAGTAGTACCCTCAGCTGCTGCAGCAGCTGCTGCAGTTGCTGCTGCAGCAGGTGTTGCAGCTGGTGTGCTGGGTGTGGGGTGCTGCGGTGTCTGTACACCTCAGCTCGGTGGTGCTGCGCTCGCAGCTGCTGCGGAGTGCCGGACTTTTCATTTTATTTCCCCGATCTTTTTACTGTCGGCAGCAGCAATTAATAAAAGCCAGGGGAGAGCAGCAGCAGCAGCAGCAGCAGCAGCTGGGGCTGCTGTGGCTCGCCCCCGAGAGCTCAGCTGTACGTACACTCGAAAACTTCGCCAAACAAGGTCCGCCTTTTCTTTCCAAATTCTTTTTTTAATTTTAAATTAAATTTATTAATTTATTCATTTATTATTGTTTGTTTATTTGTTTATTATTTATTCTTTATATCTATTTTCATTTTATTTTGTTTTGTTTTTTATTTTCCCGTTTTGCTTCTTTGCTGCTGCGGCGCGGTGTCTTCCTGCTGCTCTTCAACTGACTTCTCTCTTATTATTTATCATTATTTATTTATCTATTTTATTTATGTATTCATTTATTTAATTTTGTTTGTTCATTTAATTTAATTTTATTTATTTGTTTGTTTATTCATTTATTTATTTTTATTTTTTATTTTTTGTTTTTAGACCCCACGGCGGCGTTTGCGGCGGTGAAGAGCCAACTGGCTTTTGTGCTTCTGCAGGGCGGAATGGCATATTTAATAAACACTTTCTTTTCGGGCTTCGTTGTCGGTGAGGGTTTAGGGTTTAGGGTTTAGGGTTTGGGGTTTAGGGTTTGGGGTTTAGGATTTAGGGGGCTGCTGCAGCCGTGGGGCGCAGCGAGCAGCTATCGAGCTGGCCCTTCGCCAGCAGCAGCAGCAGCAGCAGCAACAGCAGCAGCAGCAACAGCAGCAGCAGCAGCAAAACTTGTGTTTGCTGCAGCAAAAACCCCCTTCAGTCTTCCTTACAAATTCAAGGCGATGCTGCAGCGGGGAGTTGAAGTGCCTTTGCTGGACGTCACTTATGTGTCTTCTTTGTCTTGGTAAATAAATAAATAAATAAATAAATTTAATTAATTAATTAATTAATTAAATTAATTAAGTTGATTTGATTCATTTAATTGATTTAATTAATTGTTGCAAATGGTATTTCTCGAAATTTGCACAAATGGCGTGCTGCTGCTGCTTCAGCTGCTGCTGCTGCTGCTGCTGCTGCTGGGGTCTTCTCCTTCAATTTATTTATTTATTTTTATTATTTTATTTGTTATTTTATTTATGTTTACTATTTTATTTGTTATTTTATTTATTTTAAGTAATTAACTTATTATAATTAATCAATTAATTTTTATTTGTTTATACTTCATTTATTTATTTGTTTTATTTATCTGTTGGCTCAAGCCCTAAACCCGCGACTTGCTGCAGCTGGCCGGGCGCCCCAAACCCTAAACCCTAAACCCTAAACCCTCGCGTGTGCGGCTGCAGGTACTTCCTGGTGATGCTGAGCGTGGGGGGGGTTTATTTTTTGATAAATGAAATTATGAGAACTCCAGAGTCTTCGAAGCAAACCCTGATTGACGAAAACCCCACGGCCAACCTCCAGGCGGTCTTGGGGCTGCCTCCTGGCGGCCGTGAGGTTTAGGGTTTAGGGTTTAGGGTTTGGGGCTGGGGGCTTGGGAAGAGGGTTTAGGGTTTGGGGCTTGCAGTTCAGGGCCTGCGGTCTGCGGCGTGCTGCGCAGGGGGCTGGGGTTTGGGTCCGCGAGACCCACAGCTTAGGGTTTAGGGTTTAGGGTTTAGGGTTTAGGGTTTAGGGTTTAGGGTTTGTGTTGCTGATGCAGCGGCGGCCCTGATGCCGGCCATGGGGGCCCCGGAGCCAAAAAAGCTTTTCAAGCAAGAAAGAGACGCCCTCCAAATTGTTGTACGCTTCTGCTGCTGCTGCTGCTGTTGCTGCTGCTGCTGCTGCTGCGCGAAAAGAGCTGTTTTGTCATTTCTCTGTGCAGCCTTTCGCAATAAATTCATTATCATTATTTAAATTAATTTTTATGTATTTATTTATGTGTTTATTTATTTATTTATTTGTGTGCAGCAACCGACAGACACAATGCTGCAGATGCCTCTTCGGCTGCTGCAGCAGTGGCAGCCAAACGGAGGAAGCAGCAGCTTTTAAAAAACTTTATTTATTTATTTATTTATTTATTTATTTATTTGTGTATTAGTTGTAGTTGAGTGTTTAGGGTTTACTGGTGTTTGGCGGTTAGAGAAGACCCTAAACCCTAGGGTTTGGAGCCAAACCCACAGCAGCGCTGCAAACCCTAAACCCTAAACCCTAGCCAGCTGGAGAGCCCGCTGCCGGGTGCTGCAGCGGCCTGTAGAGTGTAGGCTATCCTTCTAACTAGGGCTTAGGGTTTAGGATTTCAGGGTTTAGGGTTTAGGGTTTAGCCTTTACGGTTAGGGTTTAGGGTTTAGGGTTTTGACAAAATGCAATTAAAGGTAATAAAGCACTTCATCAAATGCAAACTCTTCTTAAATTAATTCTAATGACAGTAAAAACGCAAAGGAAAAATGCAAAATTATAAAATGCAAAAGCCTTTTCTGGAAAAGAATGGAAATATCATTTACAGGAAGCTGAGACTGCAACAGCAGCAGCAGCTGCTGCTGCAACTGCTGCTGCTGCAGCAGATTAGAAGGGGTGAAGAAAAGGAGTCTATCTTGCTTTTTGTTCTTTGGATTTGGCATTTGTCTTTTATCTATTTGTTTTTACTTTTTAATTTTAGATATGCAACGCCGGAGAGAAGATGTCTTTATTAATTTTATTTATTTTAAATTCAAAACCGCGAATTTTGAGCTGCATTATAAGGCCCATTAACATATTTGCTGCTGCTGTTGCTGCTGCTGCTGCTGCCGGGAGTGTGGGGGCTGTGTCTTGGCGTGTCTATCGCTCGATGTCTTTATTGAATTCTTTTTAGTTTATTTGAATTAAATTTAAATTTTTATTTTTTAATTATTTTTATTTTCTTTTTGAATTCCTCCCAAGTCCCGAGACGCTCGCGGGCGGCGCAGGCGACCCGCAGGGCCCAGCGGTCTGGAAATGGGCATTAATTTGAGATTATTCGTTTGAATTGAATTAAAATGAATTAAATTGAATTAAAATGGATAAAATTCAAATAAAGAAATCCATTTAATCTGTTAAATATGCGCTTCTGCTTTCTTTCGCCTCTTTTCGCGGCGGGGGGGTGGCGCGTGGACCAATGGTCCGGCGCGCGCGCTGGGTGCAAAATGGCCGGAAAAGCGCGGAAAAGAAGTTTCAAAAGGTGTAAAAGCATTTTAATTTGCTTTTAAATATTAAATGAGTTTAAACTGGCGAAAAAAGGGGAAAAATGGCGCAGTTTTGGCCACGAACCACCGCGGGCGCCGCTGGCACTTCGCCACACACGCCGCGGCAACACAACAACGCCCTGCGGTGTCTGTACACCGCAGGAGCGGGCTTGGCATCAAGAGAGTTCTTCGCAGTTATTTTTGGCATTAGAATTCTTTTCAAATTAAATCTTTTGCAGAAATAAACACTTGGCGTTTTCCGGGAGTTTCTGCTGCGTTGGGCGCGCGTTTCCTTTTGGACGGAGCTGTACATACACCTCAGCGCACCGCAGCGCGCCGCTCCGCCGCAAACAAGAAAACCTTTCTTTCTTCATTCTTTTTATTCTTTTTCCAATTCCAAAATGCAAAACTCTTCCTTTTTGGATTTCGAGAAACATGTGCAGCCCAAAACCTCCGCGGGTCCTCGCAGGAGAAGAGATTTCCAACGGCGATTATCGCCCGGAGGCCGTCCGGTAATTCTTTGAACTTTTGGACTTTTTTCTCCTCTTTTTCGACTTTTTTCTTCTTTTTGCCTTCCATTTTGTTCTCATTTTCCTTTTCTGCATCTAAATGATCCATTTTGTCCATTGATTTGCCTTTTTAAACCCCAGAAGTCGCCTTTTCGCCGCTGAACGGAAACGCCCTTGCCAGCTCCTCTTTGTCGTTTTATCTCTTGGACTCAATTAAAATGTTTAATTCGACAAGTTTTATTATTTCGTCTTTTTATTGTCCAGTTTACTTCATTTATTTCATTAATTAATTCATTTGATTCATTTAATTCATTTATTCATTTAATTCATTTTTCAATATATTTCGTTTTGTTTATTTCACTTGTTTTTGTTTTTTCGTTTTCGCGCAGGAGAGCCCAGAGGAAGAGTTGAACTGGAGAACTGACTTGGTAAAACTAATTAATTAATTTCCTTTATTAATTGATTAATTAATTAGTTAATTTAATTAATTAGTTGATTGTTTAAGTACTTAGTTTATTGGTTATTTTAAATTCAAAAACATTTAGGCAATGCTGCAGCAGCGGGAGTTTGCTGCCAAGTGCTGCTGCTGCTGCTGCTGCTGCTGCGCTGCTTGCTCCGTCTTTCAGTTTCCAACTAAGGCCGCTTAAATAAATTTAACTAAATGAATTAAATTGAATTAACACAATTAATATTATTAATTACAATCAATTGTCATTTATCCTTTATTATTATTTATTACTAGAAGTGGAGAATTAACACGCCGAATATCTTTGCTGCTGCTGCTGTTGCTACTGCTGCTGCTGCTGCTGGTGCTGCTGCAGCGTTCGTACTGGTGGCCTGTGTGTCTGTCGTCTTCGCTGCTGCCTCTATCTCCGAGCAGCAGCAGCAGCAGCAGCAGCGGCAGCAGCAGCAGCAGCAGCAGCTGCAAGACGCTGCGGCTGCTGGGGGCCCCGCTGCTGCTGTACAGACACCCCAGCGGCCAGCCCGTTTGCCTCAGCGACATTTGCGCCCACAAATGCAAAAGACTTTCTTTGGCTTTTTTCCTCAACGGCAGGCGAGTTATTTTTTATTTTAATTAATTAATTAATTTAATTTAATTAATTTGGTTTTTGGTTTTTGTTTTGTTTGCTAGTTCACGCTTGTTGCGACTCTGGCTTTTTTCGTTTTTGAGCTTTGAAGGCAAAAATTTAATTTAATTCATTTTATTTAATTTATATAATTTATTTAGTTTAATTTAACTAATTTAATTTAATTTTAATTAATTACATCGGTTTAATTTAATTTGATTAATTGATTCTTTTGCTGCTTTTTGCCTTTCTAATTTTTTAGTTTTGAGGGGAGGCCTGCTGAGGAATGCATTTAATGAAAGTTTATTTTATTTGCTTTTATTTGCTTTTATTTGTTTATTTGTTTATTTGTTTGTTTGTTTTATTTCTTTATTTGTTTATTTATTTGTTTATTTGTTTGTTTATTTATTTGTTTGTTTATCTTATTCATTCATTTGTTTGTTATTTTATTTATATTATTCACTTACGTGTTTTATTATTTTGCGTGTTCTGTTTATTTTTATTTTACGTATTCATTTGTCCGCTTTATTTTATTCATTTTATTATTTATATATTTATTATTTAATCTAATTATTTATTTATTTATTTGTCTGTTTATTTTAGTTTCTGTCTTGTTTTTATTTGAAGAGTATTCGCTGCCGCTTATCTGCTGCTGAGTTGTTGGATGGGTTTTGCTGCTGTTGCTTCTGCCGCTGCTGCTGCTGCTGCTGTTCTTGCTGCTGCTGTTGCTGCTGCTGCTGGACGGTCCTTTTTATTTCGAGTTCACCTTATCTCTCTTCTCTAATTCAACGACACTTTTAATTGACTCTCTTTGCTGCTGCTGCTGCCGTTGCTGCTGCTGCGCTACACAGATTCGAGTGCTTTTGTCGCTGCTGCTGCACCGAAGCAGCAAACCGAAAAAGTACATTTGCCAGCAGCAGCGGCAGCAGCAGCAGCAGCAGCAGCAGCAGTGGCAGCAGCGGAGAAGACTTGGGAAAGCCGCAGGAACCGGAGGCATCTGCAACAGCAGCAGCAGCAGCAGCAGCAGCAGCAGCAGCAGGACCAGTGGCTGCACAAGAATTCCCTTGTATAGATAATCAAGGATTTGTCTGGGTTTGGCTAGGTCTGTTGTTGCTGTTGCTGTTGTTGCTGCTGTTGCTGTTGCTGCTGTTGCTGCTGCTGCCGTTGCTGCTGCTGCTATTGCTGCTGCTGCTATTGCTGCTGCTGCTAGTGCTGCAACTGTTGCTGCTGCTACTGTTACTGCTTCTCCTGCTGGCCACTGTCCCTGCTATTGCTACTGCTGCTACTTCTGTCGCTGCTGCTGCTGCTGTTGCTGCTGCTGCTGCTGCTGCAGCTGCTGCTGCAGCTGCTGCAGCTGCTGCTGCAGCAGCAGCTGCTGCTGCTGCTGCAGCTGCTGCTGCTGCTGCTGGCAGAGCGCGTCCTGCGCTGCATTTCTATGGATGGCGTTTCTTGCCTTCAGCAGCAGCTGGCGGATACTAATTAATATAATTTATTTATTTATTTATTTATTTATTTATTTGTTTTAAAAGGATCTAAAGAACTGGCAAAGAGCTGCTCTCCCCCGACTCTGAGGCTGCCGCGGCGGAAGAGCAGCAAAGAGGAATCTGCTGCAGTTCTTTGCGAAGCAGAGGCCCCATTAATAGTGAGAATTAATTAAATTAATTAAATAAATAATTAAATTAATCAGTTCAATTAAATTAATTTGTTTGTTTTGTTTTGCTGCTGTTTGGCTTTTAATTCGGGCTTTCGGGGGGTGTGGCTTCGAAGCGCTGTGCTGCGCTGCTTGAGGGTTTAGGGTTTATGGCTTAGGGTTTAGGGTTTAGGGTTTGGGGTTTAGGGTTTAGGGTTTAGGGTTTAGGGTGTGTGGCTGCAGATGGAGTGGCTGGTCAGCTCTTCACACTTGACGTCAGCAGGGGGCGTTCCCTTTACCAGGTTAGCTCTTTAGGGTTTAGGGTTTAGGGTTTAGGGTATAAAGTTTAGGGTTTAGGGTTTAGGGTTAAGATTTTTAGCTGTCTGGCGGCTCCTCTCCCACTTCAACAGCCCCTCTATTCACAACTTTCATTATTATTGTTATTTATCCATTTATTTTTTATTTCACTTATTTGTTCACTTTTATTTATTTATTTATTTATTTATTTATTATTTAATTTCACCTTAGGCCCTACCTCCAGGGATGTCCTATAACGCTGCAGCGGGAGAGAGAAGATGTGGAGGTAAAATAAATTAAATAAATAAATGAATAAATAAATAGATGAATAAAAGTAATTAATCAATTTGTTTTAATCAATTGATTAGATAATTAATATCAATGAAAGTGTGCGAGAGTTGGGTATTGAGAGGCAGCAGCAGCAGGAGCAAGAGCAGCAGCAGCAGCAACAACAGCAGCAGAGGTACCAGCAGCAGCAGCAGCAGCAGTAGCAGCAGCAGTTTGATTTTTTCGCCAAATCTACCTGTTCTGCGATCAAACTACTTGCCATTTTCTCCATTTTCATTAGTTAATTGATTTATTCATTTAATTAATTAATTAATTAATTAATTAATTTATTATTTGTTTTCAGACTCGATTTTTGCCTCCCTGCTGCTGCCTTTTCAACTTTCGCTCTCCGCGGGGAACCGAAAGGCAGATTATAATTCATGTTCTTCCTTTAGGTAAATAATAAATAAATAAATAAAATGATAAATAATAAATGAATAAATAATTAAAATTAATTAAATGGATGGGAGAGTTGAGAGGTTTTGCGGCGTTTTGCTGTTTTGCTGCGCGGCTGCGCTGCAGCAGCAGCAGCAGCAGCAGCAGCAGCGCACTTTTGCTGCTGCCGATTTTATTTAAAGCTCTTTTAATTATTTCTCTTTTATTTTCAATTTATAAATTACTTTTATTCATTGTTTTATTGTTATTAATTCTTTCAAACTCTTATTTTCTCTTCCCAGTGCTAGCGACTTGCTGCTGCTGCTGCTGCTGCTGCTGCTGCAGTTTTGTGGTTGCAGTTTCGCTGCTACAGTTCCTGCCGCTGCTGCTCTGTTGCTTCTGCTCTTTTGCTGCTCCTGTTGCTGTGCTACTGCTGCTGCTGCAGCTGCAGCTGCTGCTCTGTTGCTGCTGCTGCTGCTTCCTCGAGGACTCTGCTGCTGCTACAGCGTCGGCTTTGGCTGCAGCAGCAGCTGCTGCTCCACCAGCAGCTGCTAGTTCATGCTCTTTGCTGCTGCTGCTGCTTTTGCTGCTGCTGCTGCTGCTGCTGCTGCTTAGGCCCTCGGAAAAGCCTTCTTTTGTTTTCTGTTTATTCTCCCGTTTCTTTTTTTTCTTTTTTTAATTTCAAAAACTCCAACGGAATTAACTCCGACCTCTTCTTGCTGAAACAGGTAAACTTACTGTTCATTTATTTATTTATTTTGTATTATTTATCATTTATTGTTTATTTGTTTATTTATCTGTTAATCTATTATTATTTTTCTCTTATTTTCTATTTACTGCATTTGTCTGTTTATTTATTGGTACTTTTTACTTATTTGATTTTTCAATTATTTGTCTTCTGTTTATTTTCTTCCAATTAATTATTTTATTTTTTGTCCATTTATTGCTTTTCCATTTGATTATTTAATATCATTCATTTTTCATTCATTTAATTGTTTGTTTGTCCATTTATTTATTTATTTATTTATTTATTTATTTATTTATTATTTATCTATTTTTATTTCTTATTTTTGATTTTAGGATTTGCTGGAGTTGAAGGGCCAGCAGCAAATCATCAAAGAAGGCGGAGACAGAAGAGAACTGCATGCACTTGTAATTAAAAAATAAATAAATAATAATAAATAAATAAATAAATCAATCAATTTAATTGATTAAATTAAATTGAATTAGTTAAATTAATTTAAATAAATAAATGGTTCTTTATTAGAAAATGAATATTTCATTTCCCGACTTGATTTGACAAAGACCAAAACTCTAATTAATTAATTAAATTAATTTAATGACGTATTTTATTTATTTATTATTTGTTATTTATTATTTATTTATCATTTATTTATGATTATCTATTTATTATTTGTTGTTGTTTATTTTTCATTTTTAGGACTCTGTGGCCCGGCGAGTTCGGCGGTGGTGCAGCAAAGCCTTTACAGACAAAATTTGGTGGGGGGGGTAAGTTTTATTTTTGGAGTTTATTTTATTTATTTTAATTATTTATTTTAATTACCTATTTTATTTTAATTATTTATTTTATTTATTTTGTTTGGTTCCACGTGGAGCTGCTTCCGCTGCTGCTGCTGCACTTGCTGAAAAGCGGAAACGCTCTTTTAGGGTTTAGGGTTTAGGGTTTAGGGTTTGAGTGTTCAGCTGGGACGGCCAGTTGACGGCTGCAGATCTTTCTTCTCTTTGCGACGAAGCAACAGAAAACGATTTGGATTTAAGGAGACAAACAGGTAAGCAGCAGCAGCAGCAGCAACGGCAGCAGCAGCAGCAAGGGCAGCCGCTAGAGCAGCAGAAGCAGCAGCAGCAGCACGAGCAGAAACAATTAGAGCAGAAGCAGCAGGAATAGAACAACAGAACCAGCGGAAGGAGATATTTCAGCAGCAGAACTGAGCAGCAGTAGTAGCAGCAGCAGTAGTAGTAGCAGCAGCAACAGCTGCTGCTGCAGCAGCAGCAGCAGCTGCTGCTGCAGGAGCATAAGTTTGCGTGTTTATGTATATGCCTGCTGCTGCTTATCTTACAGGCAGGAGCAGTAGCAGCTGCTGGGTTTCGGGCATGTTTGATGGCAGCAGCAGCAGCAGCAGCAGCAGCAGCAGCAGCTGCAGCAGCGTTGTGTCTGCGATACACACTGCAGCAGCAGCTGCTGTTGCTGTCACTGCTGCTGCCTTCGGCCTCCTCATTATTACCGGGGCCATTTGCAGACATGCACATTACATGTAAATATATGCAGCAGCAGCAGCAGCAGCAGCAACTGCAGCAGCAGCTGCAGTTGCTGCAGCAGCAGCAGCAGCAGTTGCTGCTGCCTTTTCAATTTTGTTTTCTCTGCCAAGGAGCGGAAGCAAAGAATACAAAGTGGATACAAAACTCAAAACTCGAGAAGCATGGAATCGAGTTACACTCCCTTTTAGGGTTTATTGAACTTATGAACTCCCTTTTAGGGTTTATTGGCCTTGTGATGTTAAAGCCCCTTTAAGGGTTGCTTGAACTAATAGAACTAAAGCCCCTTAAGCACTCCTGCTGCAGCGCTACTTCGCGCTGCTGCAGCTGCAGCAGCAGCAGCAACAGCAGCTTCACTGGAGGCATAAGTCAAGATAGCTTTTAGGTCTTTTTGTGGTTTTGCAACAAAAGACGAGTTGGGGAATTAGAAAAAGATGGGAAATGATTAAAAGTTTCGAAAAGAATTAAAAAGAGCCTTTTTGGGCTGTCTGCATGCAAAAGAGAGAAAGCATTTTTTTTTGAACCGGAAATCTGCAAATTCAGAAAGGGAGGAATTTGCGGATCTGAGGTGGAAATTTGCGGGAAAAAGAAGAAAAATAAATCATTTTAATTAAATTAAATGTTTTATTCAACTCCAAATGCTTTATTTTAAAGTTTTACTTTCTTTTTCGGCCACCGAGTTCACCGCTGCGCGGATTTCAGTCAGGTGTACAGACACCTCGGCGAAGCTGGCGATGTGGACTTTAAAGTTGCGGAAAATCGCAAATCAAAATTTGAAAAGCTTTTAATTTAATTATTTTAATTAATTTAAACACTTTAGAGCACGTTAAAGTCCTTTTTCTGGCTATGACTGCGCGAAACCGACAGGAATTTCGCCATGCCGGGTTTCACCGCAGGAAGGCTGAGACGCTTAATCTGGAGGTTTACACGGAAAAATCCGGGTTTAATTAAATAAAAAAAGAAATAAAAAATAAACAAATAGTAAATAAATAATAAATAAATAATAAAATGAATTCTCTGGAATTAATTCGCTCGGCAAACATCGAGGGGCCCTGCGCGGATAATTTGGGGTGTACAGACACCAGAAGATGAAGGCTTGCGCCTTCTAGCGACTGGAACTGAATTTCTTTCTTTTAATTTCTTCTCTTTTTATTTCATTTATTGTTTCATTTGTTTCATTATATTTAACTCTTCTTCTCGTTTGCTTCCTGCTGCTGCTGCTGCCGCCGCAGCAGCACAGCAGCAGCAGCAGCAGCAGCAGCAGCGCTGATTAGCGTTTCATTACGCCTCTCTTGTTTGCCTTCTTCTTATCCCCACTAGCTGGTTTCTGTCCCTCATCTTAGCCCGCGCAAACCCTAAACCCTAGACCCTAGCCCCAACCCCTAAACCCTGCTGCTGCTGCTCCCTGCACATTTCTTACCTCCAGCTTCTTCATTATGGGGCCCTAAAGCCTCTGCAGCTTTTCCCAAACCCCAAATGGCAGCAGCAGCAGCAGCAGGAGGCCCCCAGAGGCCCCCCGGGGGGCCCCCAGCCATTCCAGTATCCTCGGGGGCCCCCCCCAAGCAGCAGCCCCCAGGGGCCCCCCTGGGGGCCCCCC